CAATGTGCAAATAATATACAAATATATGTAGGTAAAAATATCGAAGGAAAAAAAAGAAATAGAAAATAAAATGCCAAGCAATAAAATATGGAAAATGCACGGCAAAAATGTAAAGTGAATGAAATGGAAAAGATGCCAAGTAGTTGAGTTGAGAAGCCGAAGAAGGAGTAGAAGAAAATAAAGAAGTATGCCCCATTAGCAAACTACTCGTAAGTGCCATTGCGGCTACTTACCTGTCGATAGAGAGGCAGACAGACAGGCATATGGGTAGTAGACAGATATACTAGTAGCTGGTAGCAAATGTGTTAGTTCGGGGTATGGGAATACATATGTACATATGTGCATACATGTAGGTTTATTGCACTGTTCGATACTCTGAGGAAAATGTGAAGCCGGAGACGCACTCAACCTAAGTGACTTATTTCTCTAAGTGCACTGTTCCGTAAAAACTTAGCAATTGTACCGAATAATTTCGATATTGGGCGGACTACATGCAAAGCTCCTTGTCATACGTATGTATGTAAGTAGTGCATACAAACCTACAAACGTACATATGTATATATGCATGTACATACGAACGAACATGCGTAGGTATGTACGTACAGGCATCTGTAAGTAGCTCCAACAACGATAGCGCTACGCCTGGCACGAGCCAAAATCATATACATATGTAGCTATTAAGGTAGCCTCGAGCCAAACCGAAATGTCCGTCCAACCAACAGCAAGCAAGTAAGTGCATATGCACTTGTCGTGTCGTATGTTGCATTGTACGCCAAATCGCCGCTGTGGGCTGTGGAATGTCGTCAGACACCTGTTTGCAAACTGAAAAGCTGTCGGCTGGCGATGGAGCAAATAGAAGAGAGTTCCCAACGCGCGATCAGCTGATCGCTGAAAAAGCAGAAAATTACAAATCAATCGACTCATACCGCTGCGCGCATTCATATGTACATATGTACATACGACTTGAGCGTGTCTAATTGAAGCTATTGCAATGCATTTGGTCAGACATGTTGCAGATGGCAATAGTATTCTTCTTAACGTTACTTTTTTTTTTTAATTTAATTGTTTCACACAAATTTTTCCAACACTCTCACAGTTTTTGATGGCTGGAATCAGTTCAGTCTCCCATTTCTCAATCGACTGATTTGTCCACAGTTTGCAAACTCGAAGATATTCGCAATAGTTATCGTTGCAAATAACAAGAAATATTTACACTTACAAGCTCAAGACAAAAGAAGCAACCAGAAAATAATAGGAAAGTGCAAAATGTAGCATGCCTTGGCAACAACTCAGGAGAAGCTTAACATGATCTTTCATGGTGTGGGGCTCAAAAGCGCCCACAGACTTAGGGTTGTCAAAATGGGGAAAGCCACAGACTACGAAAATACCAGTTGAAATAAAAAGGCCGGCTTAAAGGGAATTAAAGTTGCTTTAGAAGCCGGTACCCCCTTAAGTCATGCCCGTATGGGGCTTCAATACAAGCCTACATAGTTTACCTTCAGAGCAGGGTCATGGTCTACCTGTGGACGACGATGATATATCCATCTGCACTGATGGTCCAAAGAGGGGCGGGCAGTCGATGCCGATCACTTTCTGTACCGATGTTCAAGCCTGCAGTCGAGGCGACTCAATCACCTGCGGCCACGGTTATTTGCCAGTGAGGCAGAAATAGCAGAGGTGGGAACTCTATTACCCTCTTCACTTCTTTTGCGATTGCAGGTGGACATCAGGTTAATGGCTTGCTTATTATTCCCTTTATCTTTGGAAATAAGCTCCGATTAGTGTAATGTTCCTGCGCCAGGTACTTACTCACCACGATGGACAATTTCAAGTGGAAGCATGGAACTTTACATACACACCCTCCTAACCCAACCTAAACATAAAAAGTTCTTAAGGAATACTTCATTCCAAGAGCTTCTCCCAGTGCTGTGGAATAACACTCACATGCTGCTTTTTGTCTATAATCTTAAAAAAAGAACCCGCCTTACAGCTACATAGATAAGAAAGAAATGATTGCATTTTGCAGCTGTGGAACATAAACCCTAGGCAGCTTAAGCCAGACCATATAATTAGGTCTGTACAAATAGCTGGAATGATGAAAATAAATTCTCTTTGCACTTGACTAAAGTACCAATGGAAAGAACAGTTAATCCTATTGTTTTCATATTAAAAAGATGAACGAAACACTGTACAGGTAAAATATTTGCAATCGCAGAAATAAGGAATGCTTACCATAACCTCGAATCGGTTATGAGGAATGAACATATCGCCATGCTGCTAGAAACACACGTCGTACACGTCTGTATTGTTCATCTAGGCCAAAATAAATCGATAATATTCGTTCTGTAATGTTCGCTAATGGCGCCGCCGGCACAAAACTCGTACCAAAAAGTAACTTCTTCCGCGGGGTGATACCAGACCGATGGCGTCGAATTTTCGTACCGAACGGTAGAGAGCCACTGTTCTTAAGTGAGTGCAAATGGTGCAATGCTTTGACTAATGGAGACTAACTTTGATATTGTAGTTTCATCACTTGGACGTGCTGCTCAATCATGTCACTTTTCTGTGTGATTTGGCATTGGTGACTGAATAGTGGCGGCGTTAGGCGTCGGCGATTAGCTTGCTTGTATGCTGAAATCGAGGGCAAAGGTCCCTTCCTGGCGCACCCTGAACTGAAATCTCCAAGCATGACTTTTGTATCATGATGAGATCAAGCGCTCATAGAAGACATCTCTGCCTCGTTTTTTTTCTCTACCGTTGGGGTGTTGGCCCAAATGAATGAAATGGATTCTAATCTCGCTTTATTGCGCTCCTTTGTGTGGAAGCTGAACTGGACTTTGCAAGGCCTGACGAGTTTCTTGTCCTGCCCTGTCTATCGAATTTCTTTGATGGCGCTAAAGTCAGCCTTCGTATTTTTGAGGACATCAACCAGCCTGCCAGAGGTACCTTCCACATTAAGGGTCCGGACATTACATGTCCAAGACATCACATCGTTTCCCTTCTCCCGTTTCCGAACGTACATATATATGTTCGTATGCTACCCATAGGTGTAAATATCGGAAGTCATAAGCTGCTTTAAATGGCTGTTATGTGGCTATCAATCAAAAACGTTCGACATGCGTGGAGTTCTGCACTTGACAAGGGATGACGGAAATTCATTCTAAAATAAATAAATAATCTAACTTTACTTTTTCATTTTAATTAAAAGTATGTAAAAGTAAGTATAGAGTAAAATTTTGAATGAAACAAATATATCCTCATATTTTGCTTAATTCTTGCAACCAACTTCTTCTTTAACGGCCGTCGAGCAAGTTCGCTACTCTGCTGCCCGACCAAAACCGTTCGAGTTCGAGCTCAGCGGCGTCAACAAAGGCGAGGTAGCAAACAGCGATGCGATCGCCGTCTCAAAATTAAAGCTTTGCTTCAAAACGCGCTTAGTGCCGCTGCAGTTTGTTAGCGAATTTCAAGTCGAGCGGTGGTGTTAAAAACCTAACGTGCAGATTCCAACTAAACATAAAACTTGTGAAAGAGCGCGAAAGGAAAATATTGAATAACCACTGCATTTTTTAACAGCAACAACAACAACAAAAAAGGCGCAGTAAATATAATGTGAATGTGCATTGTTTCTGTGTTGCAAAATTAATAGTCCATTTTTCTATGCTTTCAAATTTGTGGCCCAATTAACGGTAAAACGAATGCAATCACCTAATGTGAATGAGTTTACTCGGCCGTGAAGCGCGCGCGGAAAGAAACTAAAATTAGTGCAAATAATTTGAATATTTTGTTGCGTTGAAGCGCGGAAATTCGAAATTGAGAAATTTAACGAAAAACTGCAATTTCCTACAAATAACTCAAAATCCAAAAATAAATAAATATGAAAATCAACAACAACAACAAATAAAACGGAATAACTAAAAATTATAGTGCATGAAGTTTCGAACTATAAAGCAAACAGTAGTGAAACATCAGTTATTAGCATAGCATTAATACATTTTAAGCCACAAAGTCAGTAGGTAGCGCTCGACAGGCACGGCGCATAGCTAAACAAACCAAAATAGGAAGTAGCAAAAACGTACATAGTTGTGCGAAAATAAATAATAATAAAAAAAAAAACTTGTAAATAACTTTTTGCTACAAACAAAAATAAATCGCTAAGCCAGCAGAAAAGTGGTAAAGGAAAGTAGCAGCCACAGCCGCAGCCGCAGCCGCAGCAACAAAGAAGTGCAAGCAACCGCGAATAGTCGCCCACTGCGCCCCCACCGCGTAACAGCCACCGAACAACCCGCGTTCAGGCGATTGCGTGCCGCGCATGCGCAGCGCACATTTTAGCTAAATACTTTGGATATTCGAAAAATATTTTTTTGTTTTAGATTAAAAAAAAAAAATCACTTCGCAGCGTGCTAATTTTTCACATTTACGCGTGTCGTATGCCCGTTTGCCTGTTTGTTGCTTCAAGCGTATTTTCTATTTGTACGCACATGCGCTTACGCTTTTGACTTGTGCAACAGATCGCCGCGGCTGTACATTTTTGGGCGCGTTTGCCGCGTAACTAAATTTTATTTGCACACATTTTTCGCGTGCTGCTGCAAATAAACAGAAAGACTACGTTGACGACGACGCGACAACGATGCTGAAAAGTGAAAATATTTGTTACCGGATTTTTGGCCTGTGGCCGCTGGCGTTGGTCTTTTTGATTACACTACAGCTGCTGGTCGGCACCGCGGAGGCCTTCACTATACTCTCGCCATTCAGTTACACATCGTTGAGTTTTAAGAATCTACTAAACTCGGTGCTATTGGCGAGTAATGCGAATTTGGCTGGCGGTGGCCGAAATCTCAAATCAGATGTGCTCGAGGATGCGTCTTTGATAACGGTAAGCGTACACAGAGAAATTAAACGTAAGTTGTTTCCAAATACTTATTTACATATAAGGTGAAAAATTGGTGAGCACATTAAGAGCGCGGTTACCCANTAAAAAAAAAAAAATCACTTCGCAGCGTGCTAATTTTTCACATTTACGCGTGTCGTATGCCCGTTTGCCTGTTTGTTGCTTCAAGCGTATTTTCTATTTGTACGCACATGCGCTTACGCTTTTGACTTGTGCAACAGATCGCCGCGGCCGTACATTTTTGGGCGCGTTTGCCGCGTAACTAAATTTTATTTGCACACATTTTTCGCGTGCTGCTGCAAATAAACAGAAAGACTACGTTGACGACGACGCGACAACGATGCTGAAAAGTGAAAATATTTGTTACCGGATTTTTGGCCTGTGGCCGCTGGCGTTGGTCTTTTTGATTACACTACAGCTGCTGGTCGGCACCGCGGAGGCCTTCACTATACTCTCGCCATTCAGTTACACATCGTTGAGTTTTAAGAATCTACTAAACTCGGTGCTATTGGCGAGTAATGCGAATTTGGCTGGCGGTGGCCGAAATCTCAAATCAGATGTGCTCGAGGATGCGTCTTTGATAACGGTAAGTGTACACAGAGAAATTGAATGTAAGTTGTCTCGAATACTTATTTACATATAAGGTGAAAAATTGGTGAGCACATTAAGAGCGCGGTTACCCACGAACGTGTACGTAGCGTAGCGTAGAAGTACGTAGAAGCATATCAAGTGTGCTGTTGACAGAAAGAGAGTGAAGCAACGTCTAGGTCACGATCATGCGGTGGTGAGTTTTTGTTATCACGCAGATCCCATAAGATAGATCGTGTCAGCTGACACGTTCTCCGGTTTTTACGTCCGTAGGTAACTGCACACAACATTTTGTAGATATTTGCTCGGGATCACATAAAAAGATCTGCTTTAAGTTTAAGCTAAGTATAGATACTAAAATAAAGGGTTTTCCAACTAAAGGGTATCAACAAAAATCATTTTATTTTTGAAAGCTCCACTAAGGCCATTATGAATGGAATATAGCATCGTTAAACTTTCCGCCACGGGTTCACTCTGCCGCATAGACCCGGATATTAGCTGTACGGGTATCGGTCTATCGCGGCTTATTGGAATTAACCTGCAACTTTAGCAAACCCCACAGTCTAACGGGGTCAAATCGCACAATCTTAGTGGCCAAAATACAACACCTATGCGAGAGATTTTTCATGCGAAATGTGCGTAGAGTGCGGCAATGTCTACCCGCGCCAATTGTAAAATGTTAAGATACTTTGTCTCGCACATCCTAAATATCCCTGAGGAGCTCTGGGGCATTGAGACTAGTCGAATTCGGAATTACATAATCGGCTCGAGACGTTTTCTTGATTAAGTAGTCGGTGCTTTTCTCAAATCACAAACTCTTAATTTTCTAAGTCAGGCTCTTACTTCTGGGGCTGCACCCTAACCTAACTTTGGAGCAAAGACAGGAAAAAATCGTAGTTTGTACTTCAGATATGAACATGTGTATGCGACCATTACATACTTTTTAGACTTTTCATAAGTAAAAATATTTTGTGAATATTACTTTCTTCATATGAATTATATCACATATTTTGTTTAATTGTATTTTTGGAATAAACAAATTTCTTTTTCCTTCTGGTCAGTAAACTGTTTTTGTTACAAATAGTATAAATAAGCAATGGGAAATAAGGCAAAATTTCCAACCTTTGTTGGAAATAAAGCAAAACTCAGATTTTGCTATTATTCCCATTTAAAAGTGAAACAAAGAAAATTTTGCGTTATTGCCGTTTGTGTTATTTCACCGCCCCTCCCCTATCCAAAAAGCATTTAAGGCTTTGCCTACCCACCTTATCATTTCCAACGGGGGTTACGTTGCAAGTTTTGGAGCCGTATATTAGTTAAGGTTTTTGCACTCTGAAGTCTATATGACAGTGAGCGTCAAATCAGGACTAAGAAACCATTTGCAGTTCGGAGGCGGCGCCTTTTGGTCCCTCAATTTTTGTGGCAACATCAAGGCACATACAACAATTTAAAGCAGAAACTCGATACAGCTCTTAGTTAAAAGTGTGTTAAGTGTCCGCTATGTTTTTTAGGTATCTCAAAAAAAAGTTAGTATTTATATAAAAACAACAACATTTTTCAAATATCATAGCCACTTGACCACCTAGTCCGAAAAGTTAACAAAATCTAAGAAATCTCTGAAAAGTTTTAATTGCATTTAACTTCAATGCGGTAAAGCTTGAGCACGACACCTCATTTTCCCACATTTAAAAAACCAAAGTCATAAGAACACAATGACTTTGACCTAATTACAAACCTTTTGTATCCACTCAAGCACAGTTTATAAATAAACTTATGTTCAACTGACTTTCAAATACTTGTATGTACAATAAATATTCACCATCATTATGAGTATTATTTGATTTACACTATGCTGCTAATGAGTTCTTCCAACAATTGCTTTTGGAAAACCTTCAAATATTGTACTAATGGCTCATAACGTCCACTCGTTGAATGGTCTCATCACAAACAAATCAAAAAAAAAGCTTAAGCTTTAGTTTTTCAAGTGTCTCTGTTGCAAGCGATTCTATGCGCTTTCATTCTTTGGTGACTTATGTACACTTGTGGTCAACTGATTAAGTCAAGTGACATTTTGACCAGTTTTGGCTATTTTTCTTTTGTTTATTCAATATTTATACTTTTTTTTTATAAAAGTCTGTAACCAGCGCCACGTAAATCCACATTTCAAACTTCGTACAAAAATTATGAAAATTCAACAAACTTTA